ATATCTTATTCAATAGATTTGGCAATATCTGAAGGATATTCATTCTTTTAAAATGATATTGAATGTAATATTAGCTTTTTACCTATCAGCTATTTTGAATTGTGAACATTCTAGGCATTCAAAGGTGCATAATTTAAGAAATAAAAGAAACAGGTTTGATTTTTACCTGGGGTTCCTTTTTACTTTCAAATTTATACAGTTTAAGACCAATAAATATTTTAACAGATCAAAATTCCCATTTAAAAGATACAATTTTTCTTGTCAATTGAAAAGAGTAGGCACAATCAGTCATCTGATTTTATTTGAAGGCATGAACAGGCACACTTATTTTGGATTGTTCCTTAAATAATCAAGAGACTAAGGTGAAATTTACTGATCTCAATGTAAAAGAGGACAGATTTATTAGCACATAGATATCTTTGTTTAATGCAAATCAGTTTCACACATGATTCAAGAACAATTTATCTGAAGATGATCAAGCTACTGAAATCAGTCTAAGGTTTTCAAGATGGACATTTGAAATAGTCTAATTTTTATTCTGTGGTAAGTGTTTAATTTCCAGGTCTTTTGTAGTTTGCAAAATCATTTCTTACAGCAACTCATGTTGTAATTATGATCATTACACAAAACAGAATTTTAACCTTAAGAAGGTATAAAATCCAATTACACTTCAATACATATAAAAAAGTATAAAATACTAAAATCCATTTATTACAAAAATTCTTGGTTCTTGTCTGAATTTTGTTAGAGGAAATGTTTTAATCATCAGTTTGAATGAACCACAAAGAATGATTAAAATTTGTCATTTTTTAAAATTGATATTCATATGAATCTATAACTAAAAGAACATTTTGCAAGTTCTTGCACAAACAAGAAAAAGTAATTGTTTAAAATTATCTAAGTTTCTTGAATAAAGCATTGTTATTCATTTTTAACGACTTTATCTTTCATTTTTTTTTTAACTGCAAGGTTTTTACATTTTGTGCTCATCAGAAAGGTGTCCAAGGATACAAGTCCAAATCTTGTCTCTTGTCAGATGTGATTTCTTTATTTCTGAGCCATGTTGTTTATGTAAAAAGTTTATAGAATGTAAAAATGACTTGTCCATTATTGTGATAAGAAGTAAATAAACAAAAATTAAGAATGAAAACAGATTAAAAACTTATTAAAGTAAATATAAAAAAAATCATTTGTCTTTGTTACTGAGTCTTCACCTGAAATAATAAAATGAATAAGATCAATAACTATCGCAATCTTGACATCTACTCCATTTGACATAAAATAAAAATATTTTAACAACAAATAATATGCAGTATCTGCTTTTCTATTTTAAGTATTTATAAAATTTTTATCTAGCAGATTTTCTATTAGACAAATTCATCAATCTATATTAATACAAGAAAGTAAATGCTTGTCTCAAACTAAAAATCAAAGCAAAGAGTTAAAAAGTAAGCTTTACTTAAAAGGAGAATTCAATTTAAAATCTAAAAATACTTAAGGTTTTTTTATTGTTTGACTTCCTTTTCATTAAATTGGAAGAAAAACTTCATAGCCTAAAACAACTATCAGCTTGTCTAACAAGAGACATTCAAATTCACAGATAATTTTAATAATGAATAAAATATTTACTTGTAATAGTTATTTCAAGTTTGTTGAAACTGCATAGAAAATTAATTTAAAAGACTAATTCATACTTCAAATCCAAATCCAAAGTATGTGTAAGAAATAAACAAACAAGTAAATTACCTGACTTAGTAAAAATATCAATGCAAAAAAAAAAAAAAAACAGTGCATCATATAAATTTTAAACAGGCATGAAAATTAATGAAGCCAGAAAATTAAACTGATACAAACTTAAAGCAATTTCTGATTTTTCCAGTTTTAAATCACAGAAAGAAATCAAGGAGAAATGAATTTTGAATATAATCAAATATTATCAATAAAGTTTCCACTGAAATCTTTGCAGATTTTTATTAGTATTTTATATGACACAAATTTGTTTGGAATCACATCAAATGTAAATAATTTAATTGCAAAAAGAGAATGCCCAATTATCTACCACTTTTTCGTGTTATTTTTTAAAATAAAAATGTGAAAAGACTATTATCATAACCTTCATTTCATGAGATGAATATCATTTTAAAACATGATATATCCCACCATGACATAGACAATGATGGCTCTCCACATATTCCTTTTTCTTTATCACTGAATTGCCATACTTGGTGAATATAGTGGAGTGGTTTTCTGTTCTTTTCTCTGCAGTTTATGTTCAGCATTTTTCTTCTCTAAGGCTAGCAAGCCCAGTCTACACTACTATTTAATTCAGAGCTGAAGGAGAAGGTATAGATTCATTCTTTTCTCAGAGACATTTGTGCAAATATGAATGCAGATGGCTTGACTGGAATTTGAACTCAGCTTGCCAATTTCTGTTTCTACATTGATAACCACTATACTACCCACACATTCTAAGATTAATCTATTGTTCCTAAAATCAAAAGTTAAATCAACATACTATACTATAGATTATATTTAAGAAAAAGAAAAATACAGTATTCTAGGAAGTTTGAAAAATAATGTTTATGTAAATATTTTAATTTTTACTTTAAGACGACTTTGTCACATTTTCATCTTCCCTAGTCAAAATAAACACACATTCTGCCAATTGACTGAAGGAAGTTGAAACTATTTTTCCAACCATATTCTTAAAATAAAAAGCTTAAAGTAAAAAAAAAAGCCCTCAGATCTAAGAGGGTTCATAGTTCAGGTTGAGTAGAATAAAAGGTTTTTATTCTTATAATAACATTGAGTTGATAACCACTTCAAATGCTGAACATCCTTCTGTCCATCCCTATAAGGCATTGGAGAGCGGTCATTTCACTGACCACCCAACCAACAAAATGTAGGCATTCAGTAACACACCCACTCACTCTTTGATTCTATTCAGAAAGTTCTAAGAATGACATTCTCAAGTAGGAACTTGGTTTCTGTTGCATTCATTTTACGACTGTTGAAGATAAGAAGAAAAAACAAAGTCTAATTTACAGATTTTTCTTCTTTGTGGCCAGAAGGTAAATATGTTAAAACATAGATATTTTTAGATTTATTTTTAGTATATCTGTGATTTGATAATTTTTGCATCTTTTTGCTGTTACATAAAATAGCCTAGTGTTATTTTCTTAATGCATTTCAATACAAATTAAATATATCTTATTACTATAAATGTTATTTTTAGTGGGTACATGTGTTTGAGTTGTATCTCTGTTTTATATTTTTTTAAACTATGAAATTAATAGCAATCAAACTAAATCAAGAAGTAACTACTAAAGAAAATGAAAACACTACAACTTTATGAATTTGTTTTTATAAAACAAAAAAAAAAACAAACTTGCTTTTAATAATTTGTATATTTTCAAGATTTCAAGATTTATTAATGGAAATGAATTCTTACAGATTTGGTTGGATGAATGTTTAACTTTTAAAATCGTCCTTAAGGGAGAGATTGATACTTCAAATATTTTAGCATCATCTAATGAACAATTATCAACAAAACAACCTTTTGACTGAATGCACATTTAAAACAATCATCCATCAAAATCTCTTAGAATGTCTTCATCTATGAAGCAGTTAAATTCAGTTGAAAAATTCTAAAATCTTTTTCTTTTTTTCAGGATTTTTACCTTCTTTACTCATTGTGAAATATAGTATCAGTTGAAAGAAGACAAAACATTTTTGCCTATTAAGATATTATTATTATTATTATTATTATTATCATCTTTATTAAAGTAACACACACACACACACACACATATATATATATATATATATGATTACTTAAATTTGTAAACAAAACAGGAAAGCCAGTTTTCTGAGTTTGCTTATTTATGTGTAAGTGAATTCTCTAACCCTAACCCTTCATGCCCAAAAGCCACCATTTATGGATTCAAAGTTGTTAAAACTGGAGCCTATGATGTTAACAGTGTATTTTATGTCTCAAGCCTCATCAGTCAAAATTTTTTATTTAATTTACATCCAATTTCAATATCCTATTCATAGCTTGTAAATAGAATTTTTCATTTTATAGCAGTTTTGATTAATTAAATGTAATTGTCAAAGTGATTATTTTACTTTTCTGTTGCATGTCTAATGCATCAACTTCAGTTGGAAGTTTTAAGAATTGAAAAAGTGAACAGATATGTTTTCTACTCTTTTTATTTTAATGTCATAAAATATTTTAACTAAGTTATATTTTACTCTCTTATGTAGTTTTGTGGCCAAAATATATTTTGGATTTGCTCTACATTTTAAATATAGAAAAATATAATTATTTTATATATATATATATATATAGAAAAATGCATTAACAAAGATGATCAATAGATTTCAATTTTTATATCTGATGAAATTTGATGGTTGTTTCTCAACCAATTTAGTGAAAATGCTAATGGACATGTTACTTTATTGTATAATCTCTTCACACAAATTTTATAGCCATATTTGAAAATCCTGGAAATTAACAAGTTTCTCATGTCTTTATATTTGATTAAACTATTTAAAAATAGATAATTTTACTAATTTTTGGGATCACAAGTTTATGGTAATATGAAATTAACTTTAATATAAATAGATTTGAAATAATAAAATTAAAGAGCCACAAATGACTAAATTTAAAAGTCAATGTTTGAAATGTCATGACACAAGACTAAATTCTCGACTTTAATGTCTGCTGTTCACCGTTTCAACTACCTTGAAAAGAGTTTGAATGAAAGCAGTAGCAGCAAGCAACAATAGTGAGTTCTCACCAAGCATTAAGAAAGCAAGTCACTCATCAAATGAATATTCATGAGTGAAGCAATTCATTTTTATTTTGTCTCAACAGAATAAAAACTTGATTTCCGAAAAAGATGGAAGAAGACCTATCATTTTTTATGTATAACTTTATATTCATGTTTTTTCAGTATCGAGGTGACCGTACACAAGTTCAGCGCTCTCGAAGTGTCATGGATGTCCAAGCTGAAGAACACTATTCCACTCGCCGATCACGAAGCCCACATCATCCTCATCACTCTTCATCATTTGATTTAGGAGACAGTGACTATTCTTTACATGACAGACAAAGGTAATTGAATGCATCCAGATAACTTTTGGTTTTGTGCCTTTTTTAAGTAATCTCCTTATATTGTCCTCTTATACAAGGAGGTGCTGAAAAGTTCTTAGCCAAACACACTTCTCAAAAATCAGTATTTCAATGAGCAAACATCAGAACACTAATTTTTAGAAGTGGATTGGCCTGAGAACTTTTAAACAGCCCCTTATACATCTAAAATTTAATAATTTTATATTTCTTCTTTAACTTAAACACTTCTAGTAAACAAAAGCTAATGTTGCTTCAAAAAGTGCAATTTTCTATGTACGAACACACAAATATGTGTGTACTAGATATGAAGGTATATAGCTGTAGAGACACATTCTGTTGCTAATTTCATATGTGTACATATATTTGGAAATACATATGAATTTGAGAATTGTGTGTGGATTTAAGTTTCAAAATATTTCCAAATAATCTCTCAGCTGATTATTTTTGTTGCCATGGGACAGGATTACATTACCTGAAATTGTAATGATATTATTTTATCTAAATTATTTGAAAGCAAGAGTTTATTTCTCATGTGGCATTCACCATTTTTTATATGAAGTATGTATCATGGGAATATGTCCACTTCTGGCCCAGCACAAAAGATTAAGGTCACGTTACAAGAAAAATAAATAAGTAAAAATTCTCACTTGTTAAAACAAAATAAAATTGTTCTTTTTTTCTAAATTCTGAACAAATTAGTTACTTCAAAAGTGAAAGTTAAATTCATTTCATAACTTGGGTTCATTTACAAAGGCCATTTTCTCATCCATTCTTTGTATTTTTCCCTGAATGTGTTATATTTTTATCTTGTTTGTAGAATTAGTAGCAGCTCAGCTTTGAGGCTGAATGCCAGGTAATTTTTTTCTCTTCCATTTCAGAAAATCTCTGTTGCTTGACTAAACATACTTGTTGCCTATTTATGCTTGATTGTTTATGATTTTATTCTCTTAATTCATTTGTTTGAATGTCATTTCTATTTCAAGAGGGTTTTATAAATGTTTAGCTTTACTGGATCTTCACTTGTTGCTATATTCAGACAAAGGACATTTTTTCACACAAATTTTTTTGGTTTGTTTTTATTTAATAATTTGCTTATTTTTTTTTTTTTTGCAAGACTGAATTCTGTTAAAGTTATATTGGCTGTAACCAAACAAAAATAATATCAATATTTTAAGAAAAACATTTCTCAGTTATTTTTTTTATTTTCTTTCAAATAAATATAAAAATTACAACAAAATAATACATGAATTTAAAAGTATTATTTTATATGATTATAAAGAATAGTTTCTTGTTTAGCTGAAAATTGTATTTATTCAATAAAAAACACAAACAATTCCAAAATAATGAGTATAGAAGTCATTTATCATTTTTGTCTGAATATTTGATAATAAAAAAAAGTTGAGTACTCATTCATATTCACTGAGTTCCTTTTTTTTCTGTTGAGCACTAACATAAAATTGTCAAATTGGGCTGCAAGGAGCAAACTGGATTATAATGCAAAACCCAGTGCTACTAAATTATAAGTTGACTTTCTCATTGGTAGTCCAAGTTAACTTAGTGTATTTTAAAAGCAAACCAAAGTGGTGAGATTCAAAATTTATTAGTGGTAAGCTTTCAAAAATCATCCACTTATCTGTCAGCCCTGCACAAACATGACAAACAAAATCTGTTGAGAATATCTATTGACACAAGAGTTATTCTTCAATTTGTGCTTTTCTTTCATAGTAATTAATGCTATGCTGATAACAATAATGATAACCATTTTGTCAGTCATTAAGAATTGCACTAATTCATCCCTCCTGTCCTAATTGTATACATTGAGTATACTATTAGTCAAAAGTTTATGGACCTGTTCATGGTACTTCTTTTTGATTTAAACAAAAACAATTACCTTTTTCAGAAGTAAATTTGCAGAATTTTTTTTGGAGATCCAATGTAGATTTTCTCTGATATCAAGATTATTAACATAATGAGTATAAAAATATTTTTAGAAGAATTTTTGTATATTTTTTGCAAAAAACTTATTTGAATATTTTATACAAATAAAGATGTTTACTTAACAAAAATTGACCATTTCATTCATTTTCTATGGCTGATCAACACTTTGCAGGTTATTTAAATCCAGAAAATACTTTTAGATTGTAAGAATTTTTTTTTAAAATAATGATTTAGTGATAACAGTCTTACTAATTAACCCATAACTAAGGGGAGAAAAAGTGGTTTCATAACTTTTCCAAGGATATTGGTGCATAAGTGAATTTAATGAACCCAATTGGAGCTTGGGTCTTTGTTTAAATTCTGAGCCATTATCTATTATACCACCCACACATCCAAGCTTACGGCAGCTGGTATTCTCAAGCTGTCACCCATCAAGATACTGACCAGTCTCAACATTGCTTAACTTCAGTGATCATATGGGAATCAGTGTATCAACATGATGTGGCCATCAGCCAATAAAAATTGATCCCTTCATCTATTTTGCTTTGAAGATATTATCACAGTTGGTAGAATGGCATTTCCAATTACTAAACATTTTACTTTTTCAAGTAAAAAATTGGTAATTTCAAATTTCTTCAAAAAGATATAAATTGTTTTTGGGATTATATTTTTGTCTTTTATAGTTTTCATTTTAACTAACAATCAAACATTAAATAATTACTCCTCATTAATCACTCAAACAACATTTTCAATTTTTTTATTCTGTGGATGATAAAATGTTTGTTAAAGAAGCAATTGAAAAGTCTATACTTCAATTTCTTAAATTTCATTTTCACTAATAAATGTTGTAAAGTGTCTGATTTTCACTTTGTCTGAGTGTGAAAAAGAGGAGTTATAATTATGAAGATTGATCGTAAAGGACAACATTGATTTGAAATGTAATGAGAAGTTAGTCATTGTTTAGTTTTACATGAGAGAGGCATATTTTGATACATTGGTTACAAGAGAGAGTTTGGAAGCCAGTAGTGGTTTCAGATGTCAAGCCTATCACTACTCTCATGATAAATGATAAGATGAGCTCCATACTTTAGTTCCACCAGTACAAAACTTTACTGCTATAGTACACCATGCTACTTCCACAGTTGAATCACCATCATTTCTTCCTTTGTATTCCAAATGTAAAGAGAAAGTTTCACTCAGTTTTTTCCTAAGAACTGCTACTTTGTGGATGTTTCCCCTGAATACTTCAAGGGTTAATTGTTATATATCCTCCTTATCCTCATAATCTTCCTGCCAACTCCTCTTTCACTCATATCATAACCATTTTAACAGTAACCCTGTACCTTGAATGGCTCTTGAGCCTTAGGATAATGAAAAAATTTGTGACTGCCTCTTTCCTTTGCTTCATGAGAAGTAATAATAAATTAATAACTTGATATAATTTGATAAATTCCTCTTTAAGGAATATTTCATGTTAAAATATTGATATTTCAATGTTAACATTAGCCAATCATGTTTTATCTAAAAATTAAATATGTAACAATGGCAAATGTTTTCATTATTTAAATAAATATCAGTAAAGCTGGGCATAATTCCCTCATTTTTGTCATTATGTATAATGAATGCATTTATTGTTATGACTTGTAGTAGTTGATCATAGTATTTTATTCTTATTATACTGGTGGTGGTTAATTGCATTAAATAAAACATGTTTTACATATTATAATTCTTGTAAAATCAGTAAAGTAACTGTTTTTAGAGTCAGCAATTTGTGTATTGATAGATTCCATGAATATCTGTACAGTTAAAAAAATGCAGCTTTTTACAGTGATTTGTTATTTTCCAAATAAAATATACAGAGAAAACATGAGAAAAAATGTATATCATTGTGAAAATATTTTAAAACAATGAATTGGAAAATGAAATTCTTTGAACTAATTTCCAAATCTTTGTTGCAACTAATATTTTCTTCCCTTGTTTTAGAATTTAATTTTTTTTTTTAACTATTAGTTATCTTAGATTTCATTATGAGAAAATAGTGCATTTTATTTCTGAACAGAGGTTTAACTTATGCAATCTTCATTAATGATACAAAAGGGGGTAACATTAACATGTTTGTGTTAGTAGTGTTATCTTGAGTTTAATGTCTGCTCAAATAATCAGATTGCATTTATGTATATGGGTTTTTCAGTTGTTACAATTTAAATGATTGAGGAAAATAAAACAAAGAGCTTTGCCTTTTTGAGTTTTAATCTTATAGATAAAGAAATGTCAAAAAAATGGATAAACACTAACAGGATTCAGTAAAAGTGACACTAAACCACCACCAGATTTTGATAACTAAAGATTACTAAATTACAGTTTGTTTTGTTTTTGTACTTGTTACCAAAATGCAACACAATGATGACATACCACAGGTTTGAGATGGGGTGCCATTATTGTTACATATTCTTGAAATCTTCCTTTTCTTTATCACATTGCTAATGCCAACCTCTTCTGTGCATGACTGTATATGTTTCTCTTTCATATTGCCTTTGTCCAATAAATTTTCTTAAAGACTAATTGGGACTTCTCTTTCCAACAGTTCTAAATATTACACAACACATGCAGACATTTTATTCATTCAATCAATTGAATTTTAATTAATGCTTGTTGTTATAAAAAGTGTAAAATACATGAATTCATTTCAAAATTTATGATTCTCTTCTAAAAGTGATTGCAATGATAAATTTAATTTCTAACTGAAAAATATTTTTGTAAACATTCTTTGGGAATATGAAGGCTAGTTCTAGTCTAAAATTATTTATTGCTAAGTACAGACTTGTATTTTATAACATATTTTTAGAATTGCTTAGACTGCTAAATATTCCAACCAAAATAGAACAGTCATTTTTTTTGTTGTTTAATGAATGACAGAAATCTAAATTTAGATTATTTCCTGTGTAGTTTCCCCAACTTATTCTTAAAAATCATGCCATTTATGCATGTGTTGATTAAATGCTTTATTAAACAGAAACATTTTTTAATGCGGATTTGAGAGTGGGGGTTGGATCAATCTGGATTGGAGTTTATATCAGTTTTATAAAAAAGTGTTTTGCTTGCTTACAACAAACAGAAGATCATCAGATTGGCGAAGAGAGGATGAAGATTCTGATTCCAGCTCACAGAGAAGTCCAAACCCTGAACGACGTGCACGTGTGTCCAGATCTGATCTAATGTAGGTCTCACCTAGTTAGTTTTATGGATGCATCTCCTTACAACTGTTAACCTCTTCCATTTAATCTGATGATGTCCATTAATTTTCCCCATTAATATTGGTCTCACCCTTAACATGGCCTCCCTTGCTTAACCTAGACCCCCCTCTCTCTCTCTCTCTCTCTCTATTATGTCCCTTTATCTGTTTTTATCTCCTCTTAGTTTTGCTGTGCTATATTTCCAATGTGCTTTCATCCTATTCTCCTTCAAACTGTTCATGTTTTAGGCTCAGTTGCTTTTTGTCTTGCTATATCTTTGCTAGTTCTCTCATTTTGTAGATTAAGTGTCAGTCTCTTAGATGGCGTCTAAAAATGTTGTAAGCTCCTTTGCATTTCTTGTGAAGCATTTTCTTGAGATCATGTGACCCATTGAGCTATAATTAACATCATTAACATAATCATAAAGAAATAAACATTACAAATACAAGTTAGAAAATGTTGCATTTTTCATTTTGGCAGATTCAGTTTAATGCAACTACTTCATTTAAAAGGACACGTTTAATATATATTTGTTTAATCTAAAATAAAATTAGCCTTTTTCACAAAGGTTCTGATGTGTAGGCTTGCTCAATTTGAGGGTCATTTTTAGATAAATGTTTGGTCAAATACTTCTATGTTACCGACAGAGGCTGCAAATATCAATTTGTTTTAAGTTTGATTTTTTTTTTTTAGGTCTTTCAGGAATAAATTCTCGCTGTGGAATATGATAAAAACAATTTTGTGGGCTTTTTATTTTAACTATGCAAATATCATGTTAAAAAAATTTTTTTTTCTCTTTTGAACATTTTTTTTCGACTCAAAATTAAAATTTTAAAAAATACTGATAAAATTTATGGATTATGTTTCAAAATTGATAAAAAGCTTTTTAATTTCTCTGACCAGATTTTGTAAGCATGTTTTGATAGTAATTCTCTTCTAAATAGAATTGGTTTACTGTTAGATTTAATATATTTTTAATTTTCTTCTCTAGTGACCACTTCATTCTGTTTTGTATATTTGTTCACTTAAACAAGTTTAATTCTGTTGGAATTCAATTTCATAGCAATTTTTGGTTGAGGCTCAAGTGTGTCCTTCAAGAGGAAGATGTAATTATAGGAAGTCCTTTAACAAATCTAAAATCCTTCAGTCAGAAGTAAAAACAACCTGTTACTCTCTGACACACTTTTCTATTTCCTCTCTAATGGCTGATTTCACAATTGCATTTTATTCTAGTCATTTGTACTAATAAATAATTACCAGTCTTTTTGTTAGATTAATTAATTTTTACATTATTAAACACTAGCAAAGTACACATACAAAAAGGGATTATTTACATATGTACTGGTTCTTCTACTTGGGCTCAGGATGTGTGTGTGTGTGTGTGTGTGTGTGTGCGCTATGTTTAGGATCAAACTCATTGGTCCTCTACCTTGGATCAGAGTGTTGTATCTGTGCATTCAGTGAAAAATGTTTCACAAATACAGGTTTAAAATTTGCTATATTTAAAAAGGAAGAATTTTCAGTATCAGAAATAGAGCATTTATAGATATAGACAGTGTGGACATAGGAATCTCTCTAATATACGTATATAGATGCTATATCAATCAGCTTGATGTCTACCACAAAAGTTGTCTCCGCATGATCTGTGGCTATTCTTTTGATGATAGGGTGTCCAATGCTGATCTTCTCACAACATTGGTGGAATTGAGACTTTCTTGATGCAGTCACAACTGGGCTGGTCATGTTGCAAGGATAAGTGATGAATACCTAAGGTCCTCATGTATAGCCAGCTTCACAGTGGACCAAGGTCTGTTGGATGGCCATGGCTTAGGTATAATAAAGACAAGCTAAAGAGTAACCTGTCAGTTGTCATCTAACTTTGAGTGAATTAACCTGGATAGAAATAACTGGAAATATTTGTAGCAGAGTGGTATCAGAAATTTTGATATCAGTCATATTGACCAGCTAAGAGATGAGAGACAACTGTGAAAAGTGTCAACAAATATTACTGTGACTATGTCCCAAGATCCTTGCTGTTGCACAATATGTGGACATATATGCTTGTCACTAGCAGGACAGCAGTGTCACATACAACATGAAAATAAAAACTGAATGAGGTGGTTGGATCCTTATATGTTGGAATCAACAGGAGAATCCATCATATATATATATATATATATATATATATATATATATATATATAGGTGTGTGTGTTTTAAGGTATGCTATATTGTCAATATCCAGGATAGAGCATGTGTAAATATAAGAGGGATAATGAGGTCAACGGTCTGTTTCAAGTTTGAACAAAATCTTCAGGCCTGAAAATAGTATTATCATTGATCTTAGTGTCCATTATATATATATATATATATATATATATATATATATATATATATATATATATATATATACACACAATTAAATATCTATTATTTCTACATACCATTTTGCTATGTAGAAATCCTAGTTACTTAATTATTTTTTACCATTGTAAGTGTTTGAATGCTTATATATATTTTGAAGAGAGAAAATGCCACAAACATTTTTGATTATGATGTGGATATTTTTTATATAGTTTATTTTGTATATTTTGCTACACACATTTCAGGTCGAGTGACCTTCATCAGGTGAAGAATGGTTATTTCCACATATTATTTAAAGGAATTCATTTTTTCTTCCTATGTTAAGTCTTTTAGCCATTGTCTTGTGTGTAGTAGTTGTCATCTGTATCCATCTTGAACTGGCCAAAAAATTTTCCTTTGTAATAAAAATTCTTTTAAATGATATGTGGAAATAATAATTCTTCATCTGATGAAGCTCACAAGATCCAAAAAATGTGTAGCAAAATATATAGAATAAAGTATATAAAAGAAATCCACATTGTAATCAAAAATGTTTTCAGCTTTTTCCCCCCTCTTTAAAATATACACTTTTGTCTTGTTGGAACAACTATAATCTCTCCTTTTACATACACACACATTATATATATATATATATATATATATATATATATATATATATATATATATATATATATATATATATATGTATATAAATAAAAAAAGAAAGAACAGTAAGATATAAAATCCGGTGTTCTTATAGATATTATTTATAATATATATATATATATATATATATATACTTATTAATACACATATATCCACATCTATAATATAAAACAATGTAACTTTATATATTTATTGAACATGTACCTTACTTTTCCTTTCTTAGTAATAAAATATTCCAGTGTTAATAGGAGGCAAATAACTTATAAGCAAACATACCTTGTGTTACCATAATAGATGATCTCATCAGTAAGTATGGATGATACATTATTTTTATTTAGTTCTCTGTTGGTTTTCTTTCAAGATGTTTATTTTTAAAAATTTAAAAATTAGAATTCTGCATCAATATAAATAAAAAATCTAATAACCAATGCAATTGCAAAAAATTCTTAACTATTGCCATCATTTAGTTTTAACAGTACTGGCAAATTAATGTGTGTGTAAAGCTTCTTAGATAACATACAAAATACTATACACTGTTGTCCTAGACAGGGGTTTCTGGCCTTTCTTTGAATGTTTGATCTTCTTGCAATAGTGTGAGAAATACCCCTTCTCTTATAAGTCAGGCATTTATAGAACTTTCTATTATCTGGTTGTTTTGTGTGTGTGTGTGTGTGTGTATCCTAAGTTCAGCTGGGTTCATTTTCTGTTTATGTTGGTACATCCCCAGACACACATTGAGAAAAGATTCTGCACATGATAACTTTTGAGGTCACCTTCTAGATCAACCATCTGGCCTCCTAGGTCTTTTGACATTCTGAAGTGACACCAAGAATTAAAATTTTGATATCTTGGTGTCACCACAGATCAATAGATTCTTAGATTGAGGTTCTTGACAGACATTAAATTCAATTCACACTTCTGGTATTTTCTGGCATGACTCACATTCTACAGAGCAACACTTAACATTCTGATTATAGACACAGTATGATCCTTGGCAGAAATTATGTTTATGTATATTAGTTTTAAAACTGAATAAGAGAGAATTTTTTGTTGGTAATTGTATCTTCAGCTTTTATCTTTAATTGCAATCTTTTGGATTAAACCTTTTAAAAAATAACAAAAATAATGTAAGTAAAAAATGAAATGTCTTGATTACAAATTTAAGGTTGTCCCATAAAATTCCCATACTGTACATGCTGCAATTGTAACATTCAATGGAAATGCATTCACAGCTACACATTGATAGCCATCCTACTGAGTCAGTTTGCCAACATGATTTGTACCTTCTATTATATGAGGTTTTGCAAAAAGCTCTGCAATCTTTACTATGGCTGACAAATTTGAACATGCCTGCATCAAATTTTATGTGCTACTGAAATTCAAAATACTTCATCAACTTTTTAATCATCAGGTGCATTTTAAGGCCAATTGTCAATTCAAAATCCTCATTCACGATGACCAGTCACAAAAATTCTAGAAAATGTTGAAAGAACTCGAGAACTCATCCATGAGTTATAAATAATTTGTTAGGGTTTTTTTTTCAATTATGGGGTATGTTAAGAGATCCTCATCAAAAACATTAACGTAAATCGCATTGCTTCATAATTTGTCACCAGCTAGAATTGTTATGTTTGCAAGGAGACTATTTTGAAGGGAATGGTGGCCAAATTTAAATAATATATGAAACATTATTATTTACTAAGGTAACAGTGTACAACTTGATTCTCACCCAAGCTTTCTACTGACTGACCAATGATTACCCCATACTGCATTTCAATTCTCAATTTTGTCGGTGTGCAAAAGGCTTCCTACTGCTCACAAGGTAGCAAGATGAAAGACAAGTACCATGTTGGGAAATAAGGATGCAAACCCCATTTTCCATATTATAAAATAGATGTTGCATCTAGGACTTTGTCTGCTCATCTGGGTAGGTAGGTAAGAGATCCTTGGGACAACTTCTGCTATGTTGGTCTAAC